TAAGAATATCCAGAAGTACACCATCGTAGTCACCGATATAGCATAAAAATGTAAGTCTGTGATTGTCAGCTATTTGATGGCATTGGAAGAGACTTCAGCAGATGGTAAACATTGCCCCTTTTACATCGTATAGAAGAGGAAATTCAAATCCAGAGATGTTCCGAAAGTCAATGTTTTCACATGACCATGTTCAGACAGCTGTAAAACATCTTAGGGTCTTTGTTTCATTAATAAATCCAATAATAATGTATACTTTAAAGAGTATTAGTTTTGAAGTAAAATGTTACCAATACTCTTTTCTACCGTCTCCCAAGTACTTGTCTTTGAAAGACAGTTTCTTCTATTTGCCTATTTCCATTGTAATTGAAATGAAAGAATTTTGATTTATTAATTGGAGGAAAAGATCAGGAAAAGCAGCAACACAATAGCCTAAAGGAAGTTCTTGATTAAGACAAGGCCAACAGCTTCACACAAATGAAACAAGACTCTATGAAGAACACCTAGGTGTATAAATACATATATACAAATATATTCATACTACATTCTTTCATGGGGAAATAAATCAGCACAATATCTAGATAGCTTTGTGCAACAGAGCAGAACATATTTTCTGTCTTCCTGGAGAAGTATCTATTTACTTTTCATTTATTTATATGTTTTGCCCTGCATATTTTCTCCACATTTTTACTCCTTTATGCAAATTAGGAAAGCCATCAGAGATACAGAGATACAGAGAGAGAGAAAAGATGAGAAAGAGAGAGAGAGAGAGAAAGAAAGAGAGAAAAAACAGAAGCAAAGAAAAAGAAAAGAAAGTTGCTAAAATAATGTGTACAGTCCCTAACACAAATGAACTTTAAAAGTATAAGAGAATAAAGAAAGAATAACAACAATAAAAATCCTTCAAGTGAATGTCATAGTATAGTCTGGAGTCTGGTAAATGTCTGCTAAAATAAGCTCTGCAGCTACTGTTACAATTTAATAATTCTTTACATAAACTCCAGGCTTTTTTTTTTTCATTACCAGGGATTGAACACCAAGGTATTTTTTGCCAGTAGAAATGATTACTTTTGACCACCATCACATTATCTAACACAAGTTGAAAGCAAACATTTGTTTATATTTTCTAAACTGTATACAATTCAAAAATAACTGGTTGACATCTTAAATACATGTTAATATTTTTGAGAAAATGATGAAATGTCTGTTTATTAATTTCACATCTTTATCACTTACTTCAGAAGTTACACATATGAAATTTTAGTGTTTCTAAGGGGACCTTGGGTATGTTACCTAAACATCTTCAACCTCAATTCACTCATTTGCAAAATATAGCCTAATTCAAAGAAGTGTTGGAAGAATTCATAAACTTCTGTCTTTAGAAAGCAGGACAGAGCCTGTTACCTGGTAAAATGGTCAATAATATTTGCTATTGTTATGGCTATGATTACTGTAACATCAAGATATTACTATGGGCTCAAACGCTCTCTAGCAATCAATATTTTGAAAAATATTGCTTCACACGATTGTATTTGGAGAACAAACCTAATTTGCTTTTGAATTTGGCAAGGAGTTGTTTTAAATTACAAATAATATATGACTGGAAATTACTAGGAGGATATCACTTTCTGTTAGTGACGGACATACGCGGTGCGATCAGAACTGCATCTACACACAATAGAATACATGGCTGGCTTCCTGCCGGTGACCAGCGGAGCAGGGGCAAATGATCTGCTCACTTTTCAAGTCTTTGCTGTAATGAACTTGTCTTGATGAGACGGTAGTTCACATCACTTAAGACATTTAACCATGCTAGGTAATCTCACTATGTTTCATTTCATTTACATAATAGTTCAAACACTCCAATTGCACACCTCTAAAATTTGACCTTTCTGTCTCCTTTCCACTGTCTCGTATTCTGTAAGGAATTTAATACATGCGAGTGGCTTGAAAAGACAAATATTGTCCAAACAAGTCTCTATACGACCTTGTCCTCCATTTTTATTATATCAAGGCCATCTTTGGACTTAGGTAGCAACTCACTTCCAACATTCATCACCACAGAGTGATCAATCAAGGGCTGGCGGGAGGTCTGAGTTCCTAACACAAGCCATCAATGTCTCCATTCTGGCTCATTTCTTGCTCTCTCATCCAACCTGTTCTTGCACTGAATCACCACTTTTAGACTACACACGTACAATATGTCTTTATTAAAGTTTCAAAGCTAAATAAAGATGACTGTTATGTAGCATATTTCTAGACTACAGAGCTATCATCTTTGAGGAAAAAAATAAGAAGGAGTCAATAGAAATGAAAAGGAACTTAATCCTCCCCCTGCCAAAAAAAGGCAACTAAAAATCTAGCCTGCTGACTTCAGAAAATGTCTTCATCAGCCTTCATGGATAAAAATCAAGCAGGACAAAATGGAAGTGTTTATTAAAGAGATATATGAACAAATAAGCTTTTGCATTTATACAGTAGGTTACTTTTTGGTCAAAAGCACTATTTTCAAAACCCATTTTGCTTTCTTGAAAGTTACTGTTTTCTATAAGCAAAATTGAAGATAGAGCCCATCATTTAATAGATATGATACCAGTATCTCTACATACAACATCTAGACTTTGGGGACATTAAAAGAAAATACTTAGACCAATTGAATTTAGTAGTTCACCTGAACAAAGCAATACAAAAGGATTTATGAATAGAGCAGCTCCTAAAACTAGAGCAGGTTCTGAGAACCCAATCACCAACATCACCCTACAGCACTTATAGAAAGACAGAGGTGGGCCAGGGATTTAGCTCAGTGATTCCCTTGCTTGCCTTGCAAGCACAAGGACCCGAGTTCGATCCCTGGTACCAAAAAGAGAAAAAAAAAAAAAAAAGACAGAGGTAAGACATGAAAAACAACGAAGTTAATGTGGTAGATTTTAGTCCATCAACAGTCAAATGTTAAAGCTTAACTTGGGAATCGAACTCAGGACCTTGTGCTTGTCAAGCAGGCACGGCATCACTGAGCTAAATCCCCAGGTAAAACTTAGCTATTTAGATGTTTACAGTTTAACTACACAACCTTCTGCACCTTAGGAGTTACTGAGATTAAACTCTACATTGGCTTGTCTGTTGGGCCCAGTCCAGATGCCCAGTCTAAATCTATGGCCTCCCACAAAGTATTCTTTCATAGGGGTAACTAAATTCATGCATAATATATGACATGTAAGCTATTCATTATGGTTTGCATCAAAATTTAGTATCGCAATCAAAAACTTGATAAAGCTAGAAAATTTTGCCAAACAACATGAGCCAAAGTATCTAAAAAGATATATGTAGGTTTTAAATATGTTTAACATATCTCTATTTTCATATGCAGATCTTAACTATAGGATCAGCTAGCCTAAACTGGAAAGAGAAATCTGTTGGCTCTGTGGCTGAGGAAACAAGATGTCATCTTTTATGAGTAGCCACATAGAGCCCCAGAGCTAGAAAACGGAGTTTCTAAATATAGGGATTCACACTATATTGCCTCTCTGCATTTCTGACACATTCTTACCAAGCCACAGAAATGTCTCAAAAGCTGGCGCTCATTGAAAGCTTCTATGTGCCTCAGAAATACATGCTAATAACCAAGAAGGATTTTAAACCATCAATCTTCAAGTCACTTTTCTTGTGTGTGGCACAAATTCTGGTGCCAAATTTCCCAAAGAATTAACATCAAATTCAGTAAGTGTCTGTGGTTCCTATGTTGAAGATTTTTCGCAATGCTATTAGCCTCTTTCTACAAGATGATTCTTCCACACATTACACAGTACAAGCAACAAATGGGGTGGGGGGAAGCTTGTTCTCTCAAAATGGTACAAATTCTACATAAATAGAAGGAGCATAGAAAGCCCAACATTTTTAAACTCCAACAGAAATAAGTTACTGACTCGAAGTCACCAGTGGATGTTAAAACCATTAGGTGTAAGTTCATTTCAGAAGAGGATATTCATGCAGTTTTAAATTTCTCACAACAGAGCATGTATTAACAAAAAGAAGAAAGTACCTTTCAGTATGGAATTTTGGTGGACAGCACTTTAGCCACTTAACAAAGTTAGCGTTAGCATTAATGGAATAAAGCACAACAGTTATCTGCTGATACAAGCCACTGAAAAGGACAAAAATTTATGTAGTATTTTGCCAAAAATGTGTAATTTGAATTGAAACATGAGTAAAGATTCAGCCAGACTCATGGACTGCAGCACAGCCAGTTTCACCTTTCAAAACTGCCAATATCATGAAAGACAGAGTCTGAAAAATTGCTCCAAAGTAAAGCATATGGGAAAGACATAGCTGCTGAAAGTAATGTATGAACTGTATTGGACCTGGCATTGGGAGAAAAGGTTGCTATAGAGATAAGTTCGGATTATGGAAGCATAGAGACAACACTATGGAATTAATATTGTGTTTTCAAAATTTGATAATTTCATGCTGGTTATGCAAGAAACTGCCCTTGTGCTTTGGCAAAACGTGCTGAATTATTCAGTACTAAAGGGTCACAGTCTCTGCAGCTTACTCTCAAACGTTCAGCAAAATCACGAGAATACTGAGGAGCTGATTGAGAGCAAGCAAACACCACCAGGTGTGTTAACAGTTGATCTAAACAGAGGGTTATGTGGGAGACCAGCGTGACATTCATGATATTGTCTGCAGGTCTGACATTTTTCAAAAATAAAAGCATTAATTAAAATAATAAAAGGCAATGACAACAGAAATGTGACCAGGTAACCCTTTCAAACAAGCAAACAGCTCATACCATAGTCCACCAAGCTGAAAGACCCAGAAGGAACAGGAACTTTTGTGCTTTAAAAATAACAACCTTTCCTAGTCATTCTGAAGTAGGTCACTCAAACTCAACCCCAGTTGTGTCCTCTTCCGAGTTAATGAAGCTGAAAGTGACACGGCAAACACACCATTTCTCAGTCTTCCTTGCAGACTGACAGAAGGCGCCATGGAAACATGGGGCTTACCTTGTAGGAGCTTCCAGTGGTCTGCTAGTCAGCTTTCTGGAGGTCAAGGGCAGCGGTGGGGACAGCAGAGCCTTCTTGATCTGCCTTCTCTGCAGTGTAGCTTCATTGTCAACTCTCCACTCGCGTGTGTGTGACAGACGGTGGCAGCCACAGTGGCACAACTCTATTTCCAGCCAGGGTCTAGTGGGGCCTCAGCAGAGTCATCCTCAAAGCGTGGTCTCAGGATCAGCTCTCTCCACATCACGTGGGACCATGTTAGGATCACCAGTTCTCTGTCTTGCCCTAAACTGGTGGTAGGACCCGGCAATCTGTTTTTTAACAGCCCTGCCAGGTGTTGCAGATGGAGACTTAAGTTTGAATACTGCCCCAGCTTACAGGATCATTATACATTATTCCAGCACTCACTAAGGAGGCCCAAACTAGAGCCAGTACCTACAACCCTCTACTGAACTTGTACATTCAAATGTAGCTATTAAATTCCATTCTGTTTAACATAATTCTACCAAATATGCTATCATTAATCTTAGTACAATGGTGAAAATACTATCATTCTATTTTCATAGTAAAAAATGCGAACTCAGACTGTCAGTATTCAGTTACTATATACTGTACTATATAAGCCTAGATTCAATTCATATTTTTATATCCTAATACAGCAGACTCTCAACTTATGACCTGCCTGACACATGAACTTGGGCTAATTAGGAAGTTTTATCTGCTTCTTGTTGTCTGTAGCATGTACCCAGGTAAACATCCAGATCTCAGCTGTAGTCACAAGAAACTTGAGTTATAAGCAGCCTTCAGGAATCGATTGAGTTTGTAAGTCAAGGGTCCACTGTATTTTTCACAATAATAAAGTCTAGACAGTGTTTGGAGTTCATTGTACGTCCCCTCTGAATACAAAGCCATCTTAAATTAACCATTCAGGTGTATGTTGAAGGATGAGAATACGTGTAGTACATCACAGATAAAATACTAGCTCCGGGTTCTTGTAGATCATCATTTAATCTGGGGGAATTACACTGTCTGTTAAGAAGACTAGCACTAGAAAGTTGGAAAACCAGTGTCTGGATGTCACGAAGGGACTGAATCTATTTGTCATGACTGCATATCTGTAAGTGGGATCTACTGTTCATAAACAAAATGCACCATGGATATTCTAGTGAAGGACCTGGATCTTTGTCCCACTTAATGCCAACCACTTGTCTTAATTTTACAAAATAAATATAAATCCCTAAGCAACAAACAGGATTTAGAATGGGACTGTTGTGCTTTTTAAAAGATTTTTTTAGTTGCTTTCAATGAAGCATTTTCTCAGTAACTTTTAAACTTTGTTGCCAAAGTGAAGAAAACTGAATTTGGGGTATAAAATGAAGTGAAAATATAATTTTAAGATCCCCTAAAAATGCTTTCCTGGAACAATAAACCAAGAAATCATAACACTGGACAGGGAAAAAATCAACTAAATGCATCATTTATTTTATACTAGAGATTATATTCTGGTCAAATTGTATTATCTATCTATCTATCTATACATTCATTCCTGTATCTCCTCTATCTACCTATTTGTTCAAAAATGCTGGACTCCTATTTTGGATAAGATTTCTATAATCTACCAGACATTGGGAATAGGGGTTTATCAAATACTTCAAGAGTTAATACATTGAGCAGCTGAAGTGAGGGGATTAAATTTCTTACAATATATTATGAATAAAAATCCAAGATATTTCCCAGTCATTAATGCACAGTGTGAGGGCCAATTTTGATTTACATCTCAGTTCAGTCCACAGGCTGTCCAGAGAATGGTTCCACGAGTTTCCGTTTAGAGACTCTTTCTCCACATACATCTAAGACAGTTTCTAATTTTCCCATGTTCATGGAAAATGGCAGAAAAGAATAATACAATAACCCTCAGCGCATACATTCTGACCTTGAACTCCATGACTGCCAGGCGAATGGCAAGCTAAAAGCATAGTTCCTCACGTCTGCATCTGTGCCTCCCCACAAGTTAGCCTGTTCTTAATTCTTCACTGATTAGTTATGAGCACAGTGTGATTCCCCTCCTGCAGGCAGCTCATTTGTATTGCAGATTGATAATAACATCCTAAAGTCCAATGGTATCATCATCACGGGGGCCCACAGCCTTTCTATCCACTTCCGCGTTATTGGACTAGCAAGCACAGAGGTAGGGACAGCTGCACTTCCTCGTGAAGCTTCTGGGATCAGCACCGACTTTCCCAGTGGGGACTTCCAACTATGAAGGGTTTGTAACAGATTAGGTGAATTTGATGAGTAGAGGTGAAAGCATTTGCTTCAATTGGTCCTTTTTTGTTGATACGCTGGGTCAGGAATGCTAGCCTTTCTTTGAGTCTATGGCTTCCTGAGAACATTTCATTTATATTAATGTACATACTCATTATTTTCTCTCCAAATCTAAATCAAGCTAAATTTATTTAGTAGTGTGTATAATACATATATCTTTAGGCTTTGCAATCAAATATACTTTATTTGGAATTTTGGCTTCTGCAGTTAGGAGCATATCTTTAAACAAGTTTCTTTTCTCCTTTTTCTTGTTTCCTCAGCTCAGAAAAATATAAAAATAGCAGTAATCTTTTTCTGTATTTAAAGAGTTGTATTTAATGAGAATGTGGATTAAAGTACTTTCATACAATAAATACCAGCTACTGCTAGAGCTAATCATGAAAGTGCTCTCTGCAACAAGAACATGCTATTTCTTAGATTTAAGTGAAATAAATATGTTATACATTCATTATATTAAACATATATTAATACTTTCAAAATTACAGCTTGCACATTAGAATCTCAATGGGCCAAATAAATGTAACTCCATGAGTTATTTAAATTATCACATCAGCACATAATTCTTATTGGAAATCTGGCTATACATTCACTGAAATGTTTCAGATTGGTGGTAATTTTGTTCTATCAATCATGTTCTTTTATTTTTAGGACTTAATCTTTGTACTCAAGAGTGTAGTAATTGAAGATTTCTGCTTCTGGCTATGATGGATTAGTTTGCAGCTGACCCAAGTACATGCCAAGAAGATTAGAAAAGGTAGAAAATAAAAAACACATGTGTGAAGGTGTCAGCAAGCTATGGAGGCATCAGGATTCCATGCAGCCAAAAACCTGTAGAGAAGGAAAACACATTGGAGATGAGCCTGACATTTTACATTTTCAGTCAAGGCATTTGCAGACTGCTAACCAGCATGGGATAGGATGTGAAAAACCTAAGCAAAAAGCAGTAGTTAAGCAGAGTTTTTGACTGCTTCTTTAAGGGGAAGAGCCAATGATTGAGGAGCAGATCTTTTAAGGTAGCCAGGACCCAAGGGGGCAAATTCTGCAGTAAAGGGAAAATGACTCAGGCATTCCAGTCTTCAACTCAAAGTTGTTTATCTGTGGAAAAAGGTCTTAAGGTGAGAGGCTAAGCAAGGATAGCCTTTTAAAGATCTGAGACTATAATCAGGTTTTTGCAGGTTCTTGGCACGGGAAAGTGAAAACCTAGCATTGAATTCTTATGTGAAGCAGACCTGCTACTGAGAAGGATGGGTAGAATGATCTGTAAATAGAGTAACCAGAAAATAAACTAAGTCTTATAAAACCCTAAACCTACTCTTGCATCCCTATCCAATTCTCTGATTGTGTAGGGTGATGCTTTAAACTAACTATGTGCAATAACTCAAAACCAGTTTCCCAGAAGGAATGGAACGTAGCAGCATCTAAAGCCTGTAACATTTTTCATGAAAGACGAAAGCATTTAATTAAAAAATAAGGGACAAAGAAATAGGTTTCAGAAAACATCGACAAGAATAGCAGAAACAGAGTCATTGATCACCTATATCCTGGAGTTAGCAAAAAAGTTATATTAATATTTTAGAGAGAATAAATAAGAGGAATTCTACAGAGAACTAGAGTCTTTAAAGCATTTCTGCACAATTTTAGAGTAGGTAAGATATTCTTAATCTAGAGACAAAAAATAGCAATCTTATAGGAAAAGTTTGAGAATAGAATTTCATGAATATTAAAATATATTTTCATTAAAAAGGACTAAGAGATTAGAAAGGCAAAAAACATGGTAGAAATTATTTGCAATATATAACAAAGAACTCATATCCAGAATAAAGCAAAAATGTGACAAATCATACTTCACAAATGAGAGCATTGGATAATCCACTTAGTAAATAGAAAGCTATCTTACCTCATTAGTCATCCTAAAATACATATTGCATAACAAGTAGAGTGGATAAAATTGAAAGGATGACAACATGTTAGATGCGGGAGAATATATCTGATACTCTGCTAATGGAAAGGAAAATGGCCACTAGCACCTCGAACAGTTCTTCCGTGTTGTATGCTAAATGTGAATCTATGTATATTCTACAGCCCAGTAATTCAACTACCAGATACATAAACAACTGAAAGACATAGGCTATGTACATCATATATGAAAAGATATACAATAATTTTAGGGTAGCAATATCTGTCATAATACAAACCCCAAATAGTTGGCCACATATTTACACAGTGAAATAAGAGACGAAAATAAGAATAATTTAACATATGCTTCCAGAAACAATCATAGATAAACTCACAAACTTACTATTAAGCTGCAGAGTTAGACACAAATATATGTTTTGTTGTGTGTCAGTGTATTTATTAAAGGTTTTTTAAATCTGTTGCAAGCAATCAGTGGGATTAGAAGTCTGGATAATTCTTACACTGGGATGGAAGTTTTCAACAGGAGGAAATAAGTAGTATGTAGTATATAATATTACTATGTACTAGTAATATTTTATTTCTTAACAAAGATCATACTTACCCAAATACGTTCATTTTAATGCATCAGCTTGCACATTTGTAAAATGTGCATGCTTCTAGTATCTAACAAGGAGAACACTGTCCCTGGAAGTCCCTCAGGTTTGCCTTTTAGAGTGATTATTAATTTATTATCAACTGAACTGAATCACTGATTTTCGTAGCTTGTCTCTGCATTTAAGAGCATTTGCCTTCTGTCTAAGGGTTTCATCTCTTAGCTTCCACAAAGACTGCTTTGTAATTTTAACTTTCTGAACAGAGCACATTGGAAGTTGCTGAGTCATAATTCCTCATATACTAGAACAAGCTTTTTATTGTTCTGTGAAAGAATGTTGACATCTACTCTTTCAATTGCTTGAATTATTCCATTCCCCTCCAAAGTTTTCTCTCTGTCATTCATTCTACATTTGCCAATTTCATTATTTATCTGCCTGTAAA